AGCACCGTTGGTTGCTCCCTCAGAGGAGGTGTCGACGGAGCACCCGAAAGAGACCAGTACATGAGTGGCCGTCGTCGATTCGTCAATAGTACCGCCGTCTACCGCCCTTGCACAAGATATTCGCGATGTGCACGTTGCAGTGCGTATATTCTGTAAAATCCAGTGGTCCTGATCACTGTCGTGTTCGGCAACGTCCAGCTCAACCGTGGGTTCTCGGTCGTACATCATTGGTGAATTCGGTGTGTTAACTGGACCGGGGAATTATATACGGATAATATATTTAACCGGACACAATACGGTTGTATCCGCCAAGATGGCTCGTTCCCTTGCCAGCCCAGATTGAAGTTGGATGCCAGCTTACGCTCAGTGGTGTGCTTTAACATGGAATAGCAGGGGTCTCTAAAGCTGTTGCTTATCCGAGTCAGCTTTGCCGCTGTCCTGTCTCCTGGTGTTCTTCAGCCCTCGGCACACACAGGCTCTCTTTGAAACACGGACTGGTTGGACTGCTTTCGTGTTCACAAAATTCTTTTGTTGAAAACTTGTTCTGTGTACGTGGAATCCACAAGTGTAGCCGTCGATCGATCGTGCCAGTGCAGTGGACTGCTTCAACCAACGGAGGAGCAACAGAAATGAACTTCTGAGGTTGTGGCCCAAGATCTGCTCAATTTCGCAGTCCTTGAAGAGAATGGCGTTGCCGAGCCACCCGTCCTTGACGGCGTCGGCGAAAATGCCCCACAGGGCAAGGCGGACCGTGCCGCTGCCGTCGTTGGAGTGCCGATGAGCGTGAGCACACGTTTGGACGCCCAACGAAGTCGAGTACAACTGCGGGTACTGGCGACCGCTCTTTGCCGATTGGCTCGCGTCCGGGCATGCGACGCACCTCGGCATTATCGGACTCACATGCGATGACACTGTCGGCTTTGCACGGGCGATCGCCGTCACGACGTCGCTCACAAGCCTTCAGCTTGCCGTGACCTTTGGTGTGCTGCAAGGCTTGGTTGACATCGCCACCCCGCTAAAGGCCATCACAAAGCTACGACTAGCGCCCAAGAACGCGTAGTGGCATCGCTTCCACCGATGCTGTATCGTCGTCGGGGATGCAAATGGGCGGCAGCGTCCCGTCATCTTGAAAGGCGTGCACGTCGGCCTGGCCGGGCGCGCTATTATGCAAGTGGTGTGGATGATAGCTGGCCGCAATAGCTGCGGCCAAGTCTGCTATCGCGCGTTTTCTGCGTTGCACAATGCGCGCCTTTTCCTGCACGTGGCCAATGAGAACGTAGCTGCGGGTTCATTTTGCCCAATCAATTATCATACTGCACCGACAAGGACAAAGACGGCATCAATCGCCAGTGAGCTGGTGTCACCACCACGAGGTTCTACCAGTATCACTCTTGAATATACAGCCTCGTGCCAACGTCTTCTCTTGCTTCACGCATTGTAACGCCGTGTCCCTATACTCGCACACAATGCATCGATTCCACCGCCTCAACTGTCGCTTCTTCTCGACAACTCATCGCAGCCAGCACTCGGACCTCGTCGGCGCGACAGCACACATGCTCAAGCAGGCAGTCTTGCCGCTGGTCACCTCGAAAGGCACGGCCTCGCCGCTCACGCTTCGGGTGCTGGACGCTGGCGCCGGCGGCCATTCGATGCCACTGCTCTCGACCGTACTCACGCAGTGCGAGCAGCTCGTTCCGTGGGAGACTCGTCGCGAGTATCTCGCCTTGCACGCGTCCAGCAGCCGCGCCGATGTATCGGCGCTCGTCGATGCGCTGGCGTCGGACCATTCGTACGTGCCGTCGCACGCGAATGCGTTCGCCGGTGTCCTCCACAACAGCAACTTTCAGCAGCTCGTGCCACACAACTCGGTGGACCTCTGCGTCTCGTACGCTGCGCTCCAGTGGCTTTCCATGTTGCCGTCGTCCGTGCCAGGGCCGATGCTCACGCCCGACAACGTCTCGGGCGACGTGACGTGGCAAGCGGCAGCGACCGCCGACTTGACCGCCTTTCTCACGTTACGTGCGGCCGAAGTCGTCGACGACGGCGTATTGTCGATGACGCTCATGGCCGACGTCGGCGCGTCGACCATGGGCTTGATGGTGTCGGCGGTCGAGTCGGCGCTCACAGACCTCGTAGCGCTCGATCTGCTTTCGCCGACCTCGCTCGACGCGATCGCCATTGGCTGGTACCTGCGCAGCATGGACGACGTGGCTACCGCAGCCAGTGTCGTCGTCGACAAGTGGGACCGCATCGAGCTGCGCGCGATCTCGTTGCCGATGCAGACGCCGAATGCAACCGCGATGGCCATGTCCATCCTCTCGCTCTTGGGGCCCGCGCTGGCGTCGGGCTTGACGGAGCTCGAGCGATCCAACCCAGCGCTGGAGAGTGCGCTGATCGAGCGCTTGACTGCGCGCTTTACCGAGCCTGTCTGCGTCCGTGACAAGACCGCACCGCTCTATGACGTCATGACGATCGACTACATTTACGCAGCGTTCGCGCGCCGCCACCGCGCGCTTTCGATCTAGTCGGAAACGATTCTCGGTGAAGCAGATTTCGGCCAGATTTCAGATTTCAGATGTAAGAAACAAAACACCAGCTTACATTCTAGTGTGTTTGTCTCGGTGCTCGGAGCCGTCCTATTCCTTCAAGTAGTAGTACTGAGTACTAGCACACTCTGGTAGGAGTCTGCTAGCAGGTAGAATGCAGATGCGCTCTCCTCTCTACCAGAACGCGCGCCTGCGATGGCGTCTCCATCACTCTTCTCTGCCGACCTCGGTGCGAGCACATTTACGGTCCTGCTGGACAGTCACATGGGAGGGATGTATTACGCCGTCTCCTTGCGCTGTGTCGGGAGCCACCGATGATCCTTGTTGGCGTTCTTCTTGCGGCGCTTGGCCATAAACTTGGAGAGCCGACCCGACTCTTGGAGCTCGTCGTACTTGGCCTTGAGCTCGACCTGCTTCTTGTCTTTGCGCTTGAGGTAGAACGCGCTCTTGCCGTTCGCGACGGCTTCGCGCTCTTCGCGCTTGCGCTTCTGCGTCGCCTCGCGGATCTTGTCGGCGCGGTGCGTCTCGGCGCGCTCCTGCTTGCGTGACGCGAGCTCTTCCTTGAGCGCGGCCTTGCGCGTCGCGCTCTTGGCCTTCTTGAGCTGCTTCTTGACCTCGTCGAGCTCGGCGTCCTTGTAGTCTTCGAGAAACGTGTACGCCTTCTTGAAGAGGTCTTCGTTGAGCTTGCCGCTCGCCGCGTCAAAGCGCGGGTCGCGCGACGCCTTCTTTCGGATCTGAAGCACCTCGCGGAAGCGAGCGACCGGTCGCTTGGAGGTCATCTCGCGCGGGCAGTTCTTGTTGGCGCGCTTCGTGGTGGGCCCATCGTCGTCGTCGCCACTGCCTTCGTCCGAGGACGCGGCCTTGGGCGCGTTGGCGAAGCCGCTCTTCTTGAGCGCCAAGCGCTCTTCGATCGTTAGGTCGGCGTCGTTGCCCTTGGCCATGCTTGCTACAAGTACTGGATCATTGGTCCCAAAACTGATTGGTCGAAAGCCCTTCGATCGAAGTTTCTTAAATTCGGCATCCTTGCTGCCTCGATCTGTACGACGCAAAAGAGGTGCGCGCGCTTGCAGCCCGTACCAAAGGAATGCAAGTACAAACATGCGTTCTTCTCACTGCGCAAGGCGCGATGCCAACGGCGCGGCAATCGGCTCGTTGTGGCAGCGGATCTGCTCTTGCGGGACGGTGTTCTGTGCTGCAAGGTGGCATCTGCCGAATCCTCCCGTAGTACATTTTTCGGATTAATATCAGATACAAAGTACCAATAGTTCTGAGGGCGTTTAATTAATTACAAAGGGGGCACGAAGTTCGAAGTGGACCTCGATTCGGATTGGCTACTGAGTCGCCTTTCGCAGCCCATATTTGCTCTGCCCACGTCATGGCGCCGGCGAGGTCGGTCGGCGCAGCGCTCTGGGAGGCCGCCCGCCACGGCAAGCTCGACGACCTCAAGAAGCTCCTCAGGCGCATTAGCAGCGACATTTCGCTCAAGCCCATGCTCGAGTTCCGCCACCCGATGGAGGGCACGACGCCGCTGCTCGCCGCCACCTTGCACAACCACGCGGCCGCGCTTCTGCTGCTCATCGAAGCAGGCGTCCGTGTCCACGCGACGACGCGAACCAAGAAGAAGAGCACGCCGCTCCACGTCGCTGCGTACTATGGCTACGACGCGATTGTGCGGCTCTTGCTCCAGCACGGCGCCGACGTCTACCGCCAGAACGCGCTCGGTCTTTTGCCGCTGGACGTCGCACGCTTCAAGGTTCAGACGGCGTGCGTCGATGCGCTTCTGCGTGCGATGGAAGTGTTCCAGGCGCCCATGAGTTATCGCAACGCGGCCAAGGTCTTCAAGAGCTGGCGGCGCTGCTTTGTGCGGCTGCTGCGTGTCTCGGGTGAAAAAGCCACGCCGCAGTACGAGCTCGCGTTCTACCCGACCAAGGACAGCGTGTGCCCAACCAAAGTCGCTTGGTTCAACCCGCAAGTCTCTGTCCTGGAGGCCCACCCCGACGACGCGCTGGAGCTCCGGTTTACACCGGCGGCGATCTGGGTTCCGTACCGTCCATCGACGTTTACCCGCGACGTGGGCGCTTTGCCGCGAGCCAAGCAGCAACCTCGGGCCTTCCGCCTCCTCGTCGAATCGGCAAATGCGGTGCAAGAGTGGTGCAACATTGGGATTGTCGTGGCCGTGCAGAGCCGCCGACACGCCAACGCCGCCGACGTCTTTGTCCCACAAGCCACCAACCCGTATGCTGACGGCATTGCCGAGTTTATTGCAGCATCGCTGGCTGCGAACGAAAAGCATCAAGTGCACGCAACCACGAGCCGTGCAGCACCGCCCAGTCCAGCCAGCAACCCCGCCAGTCCAGCCAGCAACCCCGCCAGTCCAGCCAGCAACCCCGTCAGTCCAGCAAGTATGCCATCGAGTCCAATCTTTTCCCTGCCCTCAGCATGCAAACCACCGAGCCCAGGAGTCACTCATCGACCAAGCTCCCGAACGAATTTGCCTTTCAACTTTGACAAGCTCGCCATCGGTCCTGTGGCGGCACAGCCACTGCCAGCGTCTGCACCGTCGTTTCCGGGGTTGATGGCAGCACCAAGCGCGCCGCCCCTCGACGAGACACTTCCTGTGCACGTGCGTGGGCCGCCGCCGTCGTACCGGCAAGCCATCACGTCGCATGCGAACGACGGCGCCGAGTGCATCATTTGCTTGGACGCCCCAAAGAACAGCGTGACGCTTCCGTGCCGGCATCTTGCGTGCTGTAGCCGCTGCCTCGCACAAGACGTCTCGCTCTGTCCTGTCTGCCGCGCCCCCATCGAATCGGTGCTTCAAGTGTTTACTTGATGCTAAAGTTATAAACGTTCAACTTGTCTGCGTTCGCATGATACCCCAATTTTGCATTCCGAAATAAATAACAACAGCGACGACAACTACAACTACTGTCGGTAAGAAACTCACTTGTCTTGTTCGTGGATGGCAGTGGAGGGAGTGCTGATAGCAATTGAAACGTGGTCGGCACTCGGTGGTGTAGCCAGCACGTCGTCGTCGTCGTCGCGGGGGGTCGGCGTTGCCAATGCCGTCGCTGCGAGGCTTGGGCGGCGCCACGCCGGCTGCCCCATCGCACAGAGCAGCTGGATTGGAATAGCCACCGACTCGATCGTGCACATGCCAATGAGGTGGAGAAAATCGAACGAGCCATTTTGCACCGCAAACGTGCTGCCGTGCATGACGAGGGCGGCGCCGAGCGTCGAGGTCGCCACGATGAGCGCGTTGCGTTCCGTACATCGGAGAAAGAGCAGTGCGACGAACGCCGCCCAGACGCCCGCCACGATCCCAAACGCGACGTCGACCACCGGACGCATCGCGTAAGCGCTAATGGCGCCGACGGCTGCCATGGCCAGCGCGATCAAGGTCAGCGTGGTCAAGCGCATGGCCTCGTCGAGGCCACCGTGGCGGTGGCCCGCGTAAAAGACAAGGGTGACGATCGCAATAGGTACGATCGCGGCGAGAGGCGAGACGTAGAAGGTAAAGAGACTGCCGAGGAGACCGAGGAAGAGCGCAATCATGTAGGCGAGGCGGTAGCCGAGGCAGCAGCACGTGACCCCGAGGAGGACAAAGGTCGTTGCGACCGGCGAGTAGTCGGCCATCGTAGTGAGAACGAGCGCGCAAGTTTGTGAATAAATGCGTCGTACAATCATCGCGAAATGATCCGGTGGCCTATTATAGGCCAGACATTACGTCGTAAACGGCTAGCTTTGTCAGCTGGGTGCACGCCGGTCCAGACGTCAACCAACCCGATAGCCAGCCGGTTTCATTGTTACATATGTTTGCGTTATCTAATTTGCTCGTTTCGTCAAACCCTTGCCGGTACGATACGTTCGAGAGGCGACAACAGCACTTCGTACTACCGTGTTCAATGTGAACACGGGAAGTGATTGGAACAGATTTGGAGGTGTGCTCTTGATGCAGCCCATGCATTGACGTGCACTTGTTGTTAGAAAATATGCTCGCTTTCTATGGCAGTTACCTTTGAACGTGAGCAAATGTAACACGATTTTTGTTGATGGACCATCATACGCTTTAGACAGTGCAGACACTACGTGCAAGTATACAAAGTTGCCTTCAAGCCGCCCAGCGAACGACGTTGCGTCGTCGTCTGGTCAACTGAGAAGATTCGGAGAACCCGCTTGAGTCCTCGTTTCAAAACATCTCTTATAGCAAAACACAACGAATAAGCTCAGCGATCCAGGCGTATTGTGGTCGACAGGCGGAAGGCATAAGCGCGGAGATGCTGCTCAACGACAACGACAACGTGCGCAGTTCTTGTCCGCGAAGGGTTGCGCACTAGAATGCAAAATCGCCATCGATTGGCCATAGAGTCGGTCGGGATCCAACTTGCGTGATCCATCCATGAAGAATTGGTACAGTGCAGCACGAGTAGATGTTATACCAGCATCCATGAAGCGGTCCCGGCTCTTTTGAAGAGCGACGCAATTTCCCCACAAAAAGTTTTCTGGAAGCGTCGAGAGACAGTCATCTAGGCCATCACATCACAAGGACTGTACTACTGCAACATGACCACACGTAGGTGCCACAATGCACGACAATGTACTGGAATTAGGGACCCGAACTCAAATGCATAGCAGTCAGTACTAGTAGGTCGTCGACTAGGTAGACGGACAAAACGACTCGATATTCCGCACAACACAGCGTTAGAGACAGCCACCACGTGAACTTCGTTGTAGTCGTCTCGAAAGCGTCGTCTACGGATTCGTACGAGGTGCACGCCTTGCCCGGTGCAAGAGCAGGCAGACTGGGTACGCCACTCTGCAGCTCTCTCTGGTAACTATCGGCAATACACTTCTTCATACTGATTCACACAAAGGAGCAACGTGAAGGACAGCGTCTAGAGCGTGCGGTAGTTTCCATACAGGAATAATATGCTGGCTGACGCCAGTGGCCTCGGTACATGAGTAGAGTCGTCGCGAGGCAACATCTAGCAGTCGCTTGGGCTTGCGACTGCCCTCCGCGAGCTCGTTACTAGCAGCTCGCCAACGACGAGCGACTCGTGTTGTTACGTATAGTACGCTATCGCATCGATCGCGCGCTCGCCTGTCGAGGACACAAATCCCCTAATCATTTGCTCTAGCTACTAACTTCACTGTGTAATGCTACAGTGCAAGCATGCAGACATCGAGTAAGCGTCGCAGGATGCGTTGACAGCGATGCCAACGCTGCGCCCACTCGTTCGACACGAAAGACGCCACCAACGAACAACTCGCTACATGACAGTTGATAGAAGGGCGGTATGGGAATAGGTTATGCCGTAGTGTAGCCTTCGCAGCGTTACGTACTAGTACAGCTTGTCAAGAGCCACCGAGATGACTCTTGCTGCTGTACATGTAAACAAGAAGCGGACTCGTTGCATGCCCCACACCCGTGTTTGGGAGAGATAGATGGTTTTCATCACCACCTGAGTGAGTCTATGAACGGATGTTGTTATGCAGAGGTGTCCTAGTTTGTGCCGGAGCACGCGTGCACCAGCTCAACTGCATCAATGGATCTTCCAGCTTCTTGCTTCACCTTTTAGCTTTTAGCTTTTAGCTTTTAGCTTTTAGCTTTTAGCTTTTAGCTTTTAGCTTTTAGCTTTTAGCTTTAGCCCCTACGTGGATTCTATGGGGCATTTTTACTTCAGTATGGAAAAAGGTCCTTGCCGTACCGAGTAGCTGCGACCTACCGTTCAAAGACGCTAGTTCCAACGTCTATATACCCTAGTCGAGTTGGACAATGTCTTGGAAGAACAATTGTGTGCACAGAATTTCGTTGCCGTTGATTGGCGTTTTGGTTTCGATCTATAAATAGCCACGCGGCGATCTCAGCTCATTTACGCTTCCAGCAGCAGCAGCGCGAGCATGGGAACGACCGAGTCGCGGACGACGCCGCCGCCGCATGCGTCCGGCGCGATGCTCTGGAAGGCGTCGCGGCTGGGCGACGTCAACAAGGTCCGCGCGATCCTGCTGCACCCGGACGCGGCCATATTTGTCAACTGGACCCACCCCGAGCATGGCACGACGCCCCTCATGATGGCGAGTCTCTGCGGCAAGGTATGACCTACAGCACCCATCCACAAGCCGAAACTAGCATGTATGGCTAGCACAAGCTCGTATCGATGCTGCTCGAGAGAGGTGCGGGCGTCAACGTCCGCGACCGCGCCGGCGGCAATACGGCGCTGCACTTTGCGGCGGCCAAGAACAAGGTCGGCGTTGTCGAGAAGCTCCTGTCGGCCAACTGCGACGCGCACATCTGGAACGACGATGGCCTCGCTGCCATCGACCTTGCGCGCTTTGCCGGCCAGCGGGAGGTCGCGCTGCTACTCTCGCGCCGGTTTGTGACGGCCAAGGGCTTCCTTTACGTCAAGAAAGGCCACTCGGTTTTTACGCAGTGGAAGAAGCAGTGGTGCATGCTTCTCGAGTGCACGACCGACCAGTCGTGTCTTGAACTCGCCATGTACAAGGAGCCGGACGATGTCAAGCCCACCAAAGTCCTCTTGCTGAGCGCGGCCGCGACCGCTGTTTCGCCGACGTCGTCGAGCCGCCACGTGCGCAAGCACACGTTCCACTTTACGCCCAACGCGACCATCCAGCGCTACCAGCGCGATGCGTTCTCACGGTCCGAGAGCATCCGTGGGCGCCGGCACCTTCCCAGCTACAGCGCCAACGGCGTGCGCTTTGCGACAGAGACCGAGGACGGTCGCCGGCAGTGGGTCGAGCTCCTCGGTCCGCTCGCGTTCACGCCACTGCCACCCCGAATGGTGCGCTCCGCCTGTCCGGTGGCCAGGTCAACTGCATGCATCTTGCCTAGGACAATGTGCCACAACGCAGCAGCAACAACAACTCTATCGAAACCACCCTCGAGGACCAAAAGCAAGATATGCGTTGCTACAACGTAGGGCCCGAGCCGTGCCCCGAGGTGCGTCCGTCGGCGCCGCCGCTCGAGCTCGGCGCGTTCGAGGCCAACAACGACTGCGTCATCTGCATGGACCAGCCGCGCGCCGCAGTCGTTGTGCCATGTGGCCACCTCGCGGGCTGCTACCCGTGTCTCCAGGAGCATCAGCGCAAAGCGACGGGATGCCCGATATGCCGGACGCCCATCGCGACCGTCGTCCGCGTCTTCACGTGCTAATACTACGCTCATGGTCAGTACCGGTCCCGTCGTTCGTCCCTGAACGCACGACCTATCGTTCTCTGCAGATCCCGCTGGCGTACCCCGACCAGGCGCCGGTTTCTTTGCATCCGTGCGATGACGAGCAGAAGTGTAGCTTTGCATTTCATTTTGCCATCTGGTGGCGCTGGATCTGGCACCCACCTCGAGTTCGTGTACGCGTCTGGTCAGCGCGATTTGGTATGGTTTCTGCAACCACACCGATTTTCTGAAGCGATGCGCCCATGGCGCATGCGTTGCTCACTGCACATATCGGGCCAAACGCTCGCTCGTTCCGTCCTCGCAACGCAAGGTCTTTGCAACCACCTCTTTTCTCACAAGGAATTTGGTGAATTGGGTGTGTTCCGAAACCTCAGGAATGGCGTGTCGCGCGGCCTCGCAAAGGGTCCCGCCCGACGCAAGTGCAATTACATGGTATTCTACGGGCCGTTTCGCGTCCTCCAAGTACTGTTCATTGTCGTGCCTTCAACCAAACGAAAATACTTTGTGGGCAGAGTCGGTGAACATCGCGATGCTTTCTGACCCAAGACACTTGCATATCAATATCAACCCTCGTGTCCCTGAATAGATAGCGATATGTCGTATGTACAGCAAGAGAAATGCAACTTCAGGAAGCAAGTCCGCACGATCGCCAGGCCGGGTCGTTTCTTTGCCAGCGCCATCAGCGTGTCGGGCTCGGGACCTCTGCGTTTCTATATTTTGCAATACAGAATGGATTCGTTTTGATCTTCAACCCCACATACACTCTACTGTAAACCTGTCATAATACATATATGGTACAAAATGATTTTGCATTTGCGGGACGGGACAGGGGCTGCGGTGGGTTGAAGTGTTGCACGCTTGGCAGCATGTGGCGTCGCCCGCCGAGCTCTTGAAGCTCAAGAAAGCCACCACTGTCTCATATGGATGCAGCGGCAAAGCAGAGATTCCACGCACCTCACTTTACAATTTCGTGTCAACCAGCACCATCCCCCCATCAACCTCTTCACGATGGACCTCTCTCGCATTCTCGCGCCCATCGAGTTGGACGCGTTTGACGACCACGACATGACCGACGCCTCCATGTCGTCGTCGCCTCGGTCGTCCAACGGCGGCGACTCGCCGCGCGCGTCGGCGCCGCATCTCCGCATGGGCAAATGGTTTCCGGAAGAAGAGCAGTTTGCTCTCGTGCTCATCGAGTGCTTCATCCTCGGCGCGTTCGCCGACCTTGCGACCGGCACGTCGCTCCGGTCGTTCCTCGCCGAGAAGCTCCAGTGCCCGCCCATGCGCATCTCCAAAAAGTTCTCGGGCGAAGGCCACCACCTCAACTTTGCCGGCGTCTCGATCCCCAAGAAGCTCGGCCAGAAGCGCTACTTGCGCCAGAACGTCGACGCGCTCGCGGCCGCCAAGCTCGCGTCGGTCGATGACCTCAAGGCGTCCTTCCTCCGCGCGGTGGCAGAAGAGAAGCAGCTCGACCTCGCGGTCAAGGACAAGCTGCCGAAGCGCGCCATGCGCAGTGAGCGCGGCGGCCTCTCGTTCGCGGCCAACAACCGCGTCGGCTACTGGTCGCGCGAAGAACAGACGTACGCAAGCAAGCTCATCGAGGCCTTCATGAAGGGCCAGCTCCAGCTGCGCAAGGGCACGTCGCTCCGGTCGTTCCTTGCTCACCGCCTCGGCTGCAACCCGATGCGCGTCTCCAAGAAGCTCGCGACGTGCGCGATTGCGGGCATGGAGATTCCCCGGCGCATTGGCACGGCGACGTACCAGCCCAAGATGTACCAAGACGCGAGCATGGCCGAGATCCTCCAGACCGAGCGCGAGCTGCAGTCGCTCCGGGCGCTCTGCTTTGGCGAGTCCATCGACGTCCTCCAAGACAAGCTCCTCACGTCGTTCCCGTCGCGCCCGCTCAGCTCCTTCTCGATGCTGTGCGCGGCCGCCCAGACGTCCGGTGTTGTGGGGCACTAAACCAGTGTTTCCGATCTATATTTAAAATACGACATATTATTTATCCTACAAACATCAAGTTGTTTTCAAATAAATCAAAACAATACAAACAGAATATGTGATTGGTAAACACTGGATGCGACATGTCAACTCTGAGGCCCCTTGCCGTGGACGGTTCTATGCTTCGGCGCATGGCCGCGACGCGAGTAATTCAAAGACGTTGAGCTTCTCGTTGAAGGCAACCAAGGAACCACGGTACGTACCTTGGACGCATCGGCCTCCGTGGCAGCGATAGGCTGTGAATCGGATGTGCATATCTGAGAAGGCAAAGCAAAGCAGCGTGAACCACCCAGAATGCGTTCGATGCACTGGACAACACTGGGCGTACGCAGCATCGCCAGCATGACTTACACTGCACGCTTCAAGCGGCAGACAGAGCACTGCCATGCCAGTTGCGGCAGAGTCCCGTGTGTATCTGGCCTTCAGAAATGCACCCAACCGCGTGTCAAAAACGGGCAATAGTCCATTGTAATCCGACTTGTATCTCTACTGGTTACGTTTCTACAACTTGCAATCTACAAAAGGCGGTTTTGCGTTACTTGCCCCATCGTGTCGCTACCTGCGGTCGCAAAAAACGAACTTGGGGTTTGTATTGAGAAAATGAGTCGCATGGGATTGGCCGATTTTCACGGAATTTGCCCCAATCGGCGTCATTTGTCAATCGCCAAAGTCAATGGGTCAATTCAAGAAGGCAGCCGGCACCAAGGCCAAGTCGGTCGCGCCGTCGCCGCAGCAGCTCGAGAAGGAGGTGCTCACGCACCATGCCAAGACCGTCTACTTCAACGGCCTCTGGAAGGACTTTTTGACAAAGGCCTGCGCCATGGTTGGCGGTGTCTCGGGCTACCACGCCTTCTCGCTCTTCAGCGGCGCCGGCTACAGCCTCCAGTTCAACCTCGCGTTCGAGCTCCTGTCGCTTGTCACGTCGATCTCGTGCGTGTTCTTCTTGCATCGCCTCTACAAGCCGCTCCTTCTCTTCAAGCTTGGCTTTAGCCTCATGCTCATCCAGCTGTGCTGGTTTGGCGCCCAGGTCTACAACCTCCGCGTGCACAACGTCAAGGGCGAGCTCGACAACGACCAGACGCCCATGGGCACGATCTGCTTTCTCTTTTGCTGGGCCTCGGACCGCTACATGCTGCGCAACGAAGCCACGGCGCAAAAGGCCACGGCCGAAGTCTCGCAAATCGCCAAGAAGCTGCAGTAGAAAGTCCCTCCTCGCCCATGTCTAATAGAGTCGACGTTCTTTTGGTGGAGCTAGTCACTTCTTCAGTGATGCACCTTGCATCACGCGTGCATGCGAGCGCCTTGGGACACGCGTCTCGTCCATCACGCCGTCGCAGCGCTGCATCGACCCGACGAAGCTTGGCCAATGTGTCCCAGCTCATTGACACCGTCCATATCTCAGCGCCACGTGATAGAGAGGCCCGCTGCTGTCGCACATGTTCATGACGACCGCGGCTGCAACCTCTATGCTGCAGCATGTCCCGGTTCTTCTGTCTGTCGGTCGCAGCAACCTTGCGACGCTCGGCCTACCGGTAGCTGCACGCCTGACGCTGCAGTCCCGCTGCTATATCACGCCAACTAGTAGAAGCTCAGAGTACACTCATCGTGCTCGGAGGAAGGAAGCTGCGGCGAAGTACGGTACTTGGCTGTGCGAATTGCGGGGCTTTTCCAACCGGACTCATTCTTCATCCGGATGGACTTTGGTCCCCAGAATCCCGAGTGGGCCGACGTCCAGCGCGTGCCGCAGGACGATGGGCCGAACCCCGCGGCCCCGATCAACTACTCGGGCTACTGTACATGGCCTCATACGCATGCGTCGCCTCATGCGTGTGCCTAGACCGCGACGTCATGGACCTCTTCCGCGCCGTGCTGCTCTCGGACGAGCTCAGCCAGCGCACGCTGACGCTGACCGAGGCCGTCATCGAGTGCAACGCGGCCAACTACACGGCGTGGTAGGCTACGTGGGCAAGGCACATGGGCGCGAGTGCTACGCGTAGGCACTTTCGGCGCAAGGTGCTCAAGGCGCTCGGCGCCGACTTGGCCGACGAACTTGACTTTTGCATGGACAAGGCGCTCGACAACCCGAAAAACTACCAGATTTGGCACCACCGCCGCGAGATTGTCGACCGGTTCAACGACCCCAAGTTTGAGCTGCCGTTCATCGCCGAGGCGCTCTCGGACGACAGCAAGAACTACCACTGCTGGTCGTACCGCCAATGGGTCGTGCGGCGCTTCGACCTCTGGGACGGCGAAATCGCGTTCGTCGACGAGATGCTCGCCCACGACATGCGCAACAACTCGGTACGCTATTGTGTCATTTTGTGTATTTTGTGTGTATTTTATGTATTTTTGCGTATTTTGAGCACAAATTGTCTAACTTGCAATGTTTCAAGGCGTGGAACCACCGGTGGTTTGTCATGAACCACTCGCCGCCGAGCGCGATCGTGCGCGCGCAAGAGATCGACGTTGCGTTCGCGTACATTGCAAAGGCGCCGCACAACGAAAGCGCGTGGAACTATCTCCGCGGCTGGATCGCGCACCAGGACTTTGTCGAGCTCCCGACCATCCAAGCCAAGTGCCAAGCCATCTACGCGGCGCACCCGACGTGCACGTTTGCGGCCAGTGTCCTTGTCGACATTCTATCGCAAGAACCGACGCCGGTCAACGTGGCGTCGGCGACCGAGGTAGGTGCCTCTTGCTTGCATCAGGAGGGCTCATGGCTTCTGTGGCGTAGATCTTGGAGCAGCTCATGGTGGTCGACCCGGTCCGCGCGCCGTACTGGAGCTACGTCCAGAAGGGTCTCCATGCGTAATGGGCCGCAAAACCAAGTACAGGAGAAGACGATATTGTGCAACAACACGACAGATTGTCTATCGTTTCGACAAATTACATGCCCGGCGGGAAGGTGCTGACGGTCGCCATGTCTTCGATCTTGGTGCCGTTGATGACGAATTCGAGCTTGATGCGCATCATGATGGGTTTCTAGTCATGTGGTCAATAACGTCCTAGACCACAAGGACGATTGTGGGATAGTACCTCGCCGTGGTTGGTGTTTTGGATCTTGGCGACTTGGGTCAAGCGACCGCCCATGTTGGCCGGCACGGTCGTCCCGCTCGGCGGCTCCATGATGAGGCGAATGTACTACATATGACATCGCTAAAGTCCAAACGACAGAATATACCTTGGGAAACGCGGCCTGCAGCACAAACTGGTCGAGCTGGTAGGCCGACGCATTCGTAAACATGCACGAAATGTATGTGATCGACGGGTCCGACGGGTTGGGCTTGGAGAGCTCCATGTCCATCGAGAGCCCGTTCTTCTCGTATGCGCGAATGTGCTGGCCCGGCGGCGCGACGGCCGCGACCTCGGGCTGCGCTGATTGCGCCATCATCCCAAGCAGATCGGCGGCGGCCGACGAGGCCACCGGTGCCGGCGTCGGTGTCGGTGTCGGCGCCGAAAAGAGGTCGGCCAACAGGTCGACAGCGGGCGGCATCGGTGCAGGTGCCGGCGCCGGCGCCGTTGGCGCGCCACCACCAAAAATGTCGTCGAGGTCCAAGAGGTTGGCGGCCGGCGCCGTCGGTTTAGTTTCTGCAAAGTCGCTCGCGTTCGAGATGGGCGCGGCCGAGATCGAGAGCGACTGGGACTGCCGCGTGCGGACGCGCGCCATGTCGATGATGGGCATCGGCGCGAGGACGTCGGGTCGGATGCTGCTCCAGCGCGGCTCGAGCAAGCCAACAAACTCGACCGCACGCTGCTGCAAGTCGACCGTCTACGCCACCATTATCAACTTGATACATTGAAAGAAACACGACAGACCAGCGAGTTTTTGTAGCCAGCGAGAAGCGTCTCGAGGCTCGCAATCGCCGTCGGGTCGTGGAGGCGCGTCGTGAGCTTGACGGCCGCCGTGAGCCCGTACGCTTTGGTCGTGTCGGTCGCCGACTGGTGACGCATGCACGTCACAAGTACGTCGACGATCGCCGCATCCTCGACCTTGGACTTGCCGACAAGCGTCTCCTCGTCGGCCGGCGGGTCCTGGCCGAGCGCGCGGCCGTACTCACCGAGGCACCACAAGGTCACATGCGACAGCGCGAGCTGGCTCATGTCTTCCTTGAGCGCCCAAAAGAGCTTGTGCACCACATAGCCGTGGAGCTCCGGGTTCTTCTGAATGAGCACGATGAGCGAACTCGCAATGCGGTCGTCCGTGAGCGCGCTCCCCGCAATCGAGAGCATCGTGATGAGCGTGTCAATGTGCCAACGCTGCGTCGGCGCGTACCGCTCGACCGCATCTAGTCACCTTTGTGAGCAATTTTCGTGCGGATCTAGACCGTGTGTACCAGCGATGCGCGAGCACAGCGCGGGCTTTTGGTCGTTGGGCGACACGACGAGGTAGTTGAGCATTTCGCGCGCCAACTAGAGATACGTGGCAGCGTGAGCGTGCAGACTAAGATCGGAGCGGTACGGATTGAATGTTGGTTTCGTTGACGAGCGCGTAAATGAGTTCGAGCGCACGCTGCCGGATGGACGCGTCCGGGTCCTTCAAGCAGTCGACGATCGTGTTGCGGTGGCGCTGCACGGCTGGCGCATCGTCCGCAATGACCTGTACATGAGAGTGAGCGCGAGAGTGAGAGGGAGAGTGTACCTTGGAGAGCGTGTTGAGCGCCACGTAGCGAATGTTGTTGTCGCGGTTGAGGAGGAAGCGGCCGAGGATGTTGATCGCCAACACCTTGAGCCCGCTCTCGCTCTGGATCGACATGATGGTCGAGACGCACTCGTACAAGATGGCGTTGCCCGCGTTCTTGGACGTCTCCGTGTTGGTCGCGACTTGGGCAAGCACGTCGTTCATGGCCTCGCTTGCCTCGTCGTCGTCCTGGCCAAGAAGGCGGAGGCAGCTACGGTTCCGATTGTCGCCTGCACCGTACCCAGATGAATCGACGTACCTGAGGATGTTGACTTGCAGAAACGGGTCGACGATGCCCGAGACGTCGTACTCGGGCGTGTAGTTGTTGGAGAGGAGGTTGCGGAGCTCCTTGACGAGCGTCGGCACGAGCGCCTTGAAGTAGCCAATGTGGCCTTCGTGGTCGATCAAGAGCAAGTCGATGATGAGTTGGACGCCCGTGAGCAGCACGGCGTGGTTGCGGCACTTGAGCAAGTCGTGGATCGGCTCGATAAAGTCCTCGACGAGCTCGGGCACTTGGCGGAAGACGCGGACGCACGCGAGCGCGGCCTTCTTGCGCAGATAGTCGTTCTCGCTCTTGAGGTGCTTGTCAATGTCCGTGATCAAGTCGCGCGCCATGTCGGGCTACAGTAGCGGTCGATAGATTGATACGGCCAGCCAGCCATGCGTACCGAGGCAATGTTGCCGACCGCCGTCAACGAGAGCCCGACCACGAACGGGTTGACATGGTTGAGGTCGCTAGAAGCACGCTTTGAGAGGGCCATGGCCTGCGCAGAGGCACGTACTTTTTGAGCGAGTTGGTCACAAGCGTCAACACCTCCTCTTGGTCGTTGAGCAGCAGCATGAGACCCTACCACCATAGCGCACATGAGCCGAGAGCGGTGCGACGCGGTGTACGAGATAGCCTATTCTCTTCTCGGAGAAGTTGTTGGCGGCAATGAGCTTGAGGCATTCCATCTGCCCAAAGTGGCTGGGGTACCCGAGCATGTGAATGAAGAGGAGCTTGGCCACGTTGCGGTGGCGGTACTGCTTGTCCTGGTCCTTGAAGGCCGTGCGGATCAAGGCGCTCTCCTTCGCGATCACTGCCCGCTCCTCGGCGGCCGTCTTGCACGCGCGGACGTTCCGGATCAAATCGCGCAGCTTGATGCTCATCGTCGCTGCTTTCTGTCTTCCCAACTGACTTGTGCGCCTGTGGTCGACTATTGCCCCGATGCCATTGGCCAAAAGAATGCCATTCCGCCCTATGATTGGTCAAGACGGCGATTTTCGAGCCGCTTTTAACCAATCCAAGCATGCTACATGGACATGGCAGGCGTCAAGCACCTCGGCGCTGCAGGTCAAGACGGCTGCGCGAGACGCTCGGACCAAAGCCTGCGCTAGCTGCACTGGCCTGTCGCTGGTGTCGGTGGACCTTGGTTACCCCTGGACACAGGCGTGGGCCCCCTGAAGTGCACGCTGGGCTAGCTCATGACCAGGCGTCAACATCGAGGTAGCTCGCGCATGACCCTTGACGAAGGACTCTACACGACCGCAGCAATCTGCAAATAGAGACGTCGCGAGGCTGGCGCTAGCCGGAGAAATCGCCTCGCCAAATGCCTTGTTTGCCTTGTTAGCTGATGTCCTTGTGGCGCTCTCCAGCTTGAGCAGAGATAGTCAGGCTCATAGCTCGAGGGCTGGGATCGGCAAAGGAGGTCATGGGTACCTACTAGTTGCCTCTACTCGTACACGCAGGAAGACACTGCCGTAGCTCATGTTGAGCGCTGTCCAGAGCAATGGCGGCGCTGGGTCGGACAGTGCCGGGTGGAAACCTTGATGACGGAATGGATGCACCACTGTGTCGAGATGAGCTGGCAGCACGAGAGCTCGTTCGAGCGAGAAATCCCTGCACCAGCTGCGCCCCGCTCCTGTATGCGATGCGGACGTTCCGAAGCAGCACACGCAGAGTGTTGGCTGCTTCTCGACCGCCAACAAACTTGAACCCAAGGCACTTCATTTTTTCGCCGCCCGGTCCTTTACAAAATGACGTCTTTTTTTGCTTGGCTTCTGGCCCGCGATCCTCCTGCGCGCACGTTCATGTAGCAGTCTTGGCCATGCAGCGCGACACCGCCACATCGACCACGCGCGTGTGTTTACGAACGCACGCTTGACATCGTGCACAGTGGGTAAGTGCAAGGTCCGTCCTGGCCACAAGAAAAGCGCGCATCGGATACCATTGCTGTCAATGGCTGGAAGAAGAAGAAGCCTGCAAGTGCTCCTACGGCGAGAACGAGAACGGTAGAAGGTCGTAGAGCGGCGTCATCGTCCCTCGCCGCCGACGCAGGCTCGTCCAGCTGCTCGCGAGTCGCGTTGTAGCGCCTCAGCGCAGGAGCTGTGACACCGATCTTATCGCATTCTGATTGGCCAAAGTCGCTTCGACATGTCATAGTCCTAGCCCTATGACGCGTCGCGTCTGCAAATTTGGTGGTTTCCGTCATCATTGGGAAGCGTACTTTATCGGGATTGAACTCGGTTTTGCTATGCATGGGGAGCGGCGCACTTGTACGAGACGATCCCACTGTGTCCCTTGGAATCCTCAAGTTCAACGTCTGCGCCGGGCATGTTCAAATTCGGTCTTTCGGCTTTCTATGCCACATCACTTGTCCTGATTAGGACAAAGCCTTGGCGACGCCAGCCATGGATTCTTTTGGCGCTTTCTCGACAGCGTCTCTGTGACTTACTCGGCCACTCGCCGTGCGTCACGCCAACGCAGACCAGAGACGCTGCAGACAGGCCGTTCACGAACGTCTTCTTCCCGTCCTCAATGCATTTCTCTGCGTAATTTTACTTGGGTAGCGCCATCCTCCTTGACGACCCTTCCTCATGTTTCGACTCTTTTGTTGGTGCTATGCGCCGCCCAGGTCGCATTTTGCGCAACCTGCAATGGCGCCAGTGTATCACGATGGGTCACCTTCAACACGAGACGCTTGCGAGAAAGTAGCGAGTGATTGAGACGGAGCTGGGGCAAATTTCGAAATCTGAGACACCGAATAATTTCGGCCACGTTGACGGAGATGGGTAATCTCACAGCGCAGGCGCCGATTTGGGTCATTTCCAATTCGGCGCCGCCCTTCGAACGCTCTTCCTCTTCGCTCCGTACTACAATGGACACGCTCAACTTTAAGATGCTGCAGCCGTCGACGACCTTCAACGAGGCCCACCGCGCGCTCTCCAACTTTCTCTGCATTGGCTCGGACGAAGACACGCTCGACATCATCCAGGAGATGATGTTTATGAAGAAGTCGTTCTCGATCAAGCCGACGGTCGCGCTCTTCACGGCGCCCAAGGACAAGGCGCTGACCAAGGTCATCGAAGAGGACGACGAAGAAGAGGATGATTCGGAAGACGAGGCGTGAAGAGACGCCCAGCCGTGTCCGTGTAGTTTAGCCCTAATTAGAGTCCGTCGTCGTACTAGGAAGAAGATGATGGCGAGCGTCGTGCAACAAGAGATCTATTTATCGCATCCGTCTTGATTTGTGTGGTGAGTCTAGTTGGTCTTGGGGCGCAAGGATGCACTTGACGCGAGGTTGCTTTCGATCCAGAGCTGGACTTCGTCCGGGATCGGCGGCGGCGACAGACCTGGCGCGACCTTGGCGACGAGGGCCGACGGCCGCAGTCGCCCCAGCACGTTGTTCTTGACGTACACGATCGCGTGCACAAAGTCTTGCTTGCCGTCCTTGCAGCGCGTGACGAAGCGCTGCTCGACGTAGAACGCCTGGTCGTCCCACGCCAACACCCGCGTCTCGAGCGCATACGTTTGGCCCAACGAGAGCTCGCGCCGATACCGCACAGTCTGTGCGCCAACCACGAGGTTGCCGCCTTCGGCGCGCAAGATGGCCCAGACGCCGTTGGCACGCCAAAAGTCCCGGCGCCCAAAGCCGCATTCGCGAAGGTACCGCGCGTTGTTGCAGTGGCCGTTCCGGTCAATGTCGCCGAGCGAGACGCGGCCATGGCGAACGTACGTGTCGACCAAGTCGGTGCGAGGCTTGGTCGGCAGCGGCAGCACGAGCAGGTGGAGCTGGTAGATGGCCATGTCGAGAAAGTACCAGCCGTCGCAGAAGACAAAGAACGACAGTCCCGCGAGGACCGCCGAGAGGCCGTGGCTGCAACCGACGGCGCCAAGCGCGGTGCCATAGACGCTGAGCGGGCCGAGCGCGAGGAGCGCGATGGTCGACAAGCCGTGCAGGATCATCGCGGCTGACTTCGGCCTCGTTCCACTTCGCCCACCGTCAGCATCGGTGACGTGTTTTTATGTATTCTTGCAGGCTATCAAATATCAAGGGGTTGAACCAGATTGTGGGGAAGATACGCTGGCTGATGCTACGAGTGGGAGGAGGCTTGTTGCATCAACAGCGCTCTCTCAAAACGCTCTCACTACAGTACCGTGCGCAGGTTTGGTTTGGACAAGGAGTATGTCAGAGCATCGTTGCCACAAAAATATGACGTGGCAGTCCGAGAGGACAGGTTCCGCGTGCTTGATTGGTCACCCAATCCCTGCGTCGTGAAGAAGGCCAGCACCGAACATCGATTGACGAACAAGCGACTTCTGTGCGCTGGTTGGCCTCTTCATGGGGCTCTGTCGCCGCCTTCGTAAGCGGCAGCCGCAGCGAGATCCGCAGCTGCGAGCAACGATGCGCTATATCACTGCAAGAATCTTCCGTTTCCCACTTTACGCTGTGCACAGTTCTCTGCTTTCGTTGGCATCTCAGAGACCGGCATTTGATGTACTATCGTTGCGCACCTGGTGTTGGGCTAGGAGCCTGGCTGGTTTACAGTTGGGTCGTGCAACGACAAGCATTTGCGTCGGATGCCTTATCGTCGATCTCGCGAGGACGAGTGATGCTTGAACCAGAGCAGTGTTCTGGCACGTCGATTTGCGCTGCGCAAAAATCGCCGCCGCTGCTACAGGAGGGCCACGTACCGCAGGAACGCGGCTCTTAGGAAGGGTCCGGGGCTGTATCTCGATGAACGCGTTCCCTATCGATGGAGCCTCATCTTGCCTCATGAACCCCATGCCGCTCGGCTGCAACCGCGTCATTTCGCTGGTCGTTGTATTTTGATCTGACTGCAGGAGCAGTGGAAGCGCCATTTGCCGGGCTGTGGCGCGCGTCCCTTGGCGTCCGTTGCGATCCCATGTCATCGAAACGTGCGAGCTATGCGTTGTGGGAGGCAATGACGCGCCGCTGTCACGCGCGTCCTAGTGCGTTGATTGGCGTTTGGCTGGCCTGTGATTGGCCGTGGGCATTTTGGCAAGAAAAAAAAGGCGGCGTCGACCCGATGACCCGGTGCCAGCCCAAGTCCAAGGCCGTGATCCTCGTCGGCGGCCATGAGGACCGGTACTTTCGCCCGCTCTCGATGGACCAGCCCAAGCCGCTCTTCCCAATCGCGGGCCGGCCGATGCTCTACCACCACGTCGAGGCCTGCGCCAAGGTGCCCCACATGACCGAGATCCTCCTCATCGGCGGCCACGACGAAGGCCTCTTTGCGCGCTTCCTCGACATTGTCATGCGTGAAATCCTCGTGCCCATTCGGTACCTCCAGGAGCGCGAGCCTTTGGGCACCGCCGGCGGCCTCCGCGTCTTCTTCGACGAGATCATGCTCGGGTCGCCCGACATGCTCTTCGTGCTCCATTACGACATTTGCTGCAGCTTTCCGCTCCAGGACATGGTCTACCAGCACCTGCGCACGCATGCGTCTTGCACGATGCTCGGCAAGCGCGTGTTTCCCGACGAGGCCAAAACGTACGGCTGCATCGTCGCCGACGACGCGTGCGAGGTCGTCCACTGGGCCGAGAAGCCCGAGACGTTTGTGAGCGACCTCATCAACTGCGGCATCTACCTCTTCAACATCAAAGTACTTGGTCGCATCATGGACGTTGGCGACGCGCGCGCCGACGCCCGCCGCACCGCGCAGGCCAGCCGCAACCAGCCGCGGTTCCCGTACAAGCCTCTCTTCCACGAATGCGTCAACGGCCTCAGGTAGACATGGATATTTGTGCTTCTTGGCTCTTGATACTGTGCGCTAGCCTCGAGCAAGACATTTTGATCCCCATGGCTGGCCAGCAAGAGCTCTACGTGTACGAGACCGGTGACTTTTGGTGCCAGATCAAGACGCCTGGCATGGCCGTCATGTGCTCGGAGCTCTACATGCAGCGGTACCGGTACGTCGACCCGACGCTGCTCTCGTCGACGGGCGGGAAGCTCTCGCCGCACATTGAAGGCATGGCATATCGCTCTCGCGCAAGTGCTCATGTGCGAATCTAGGCAATGTGGTCATCGATCCCAGTGCGACCATCCACCCCAGCGCCAAGCTCGGCCCGAATGTCGTGATCGCCGCCGGCGTCAGCATTGGCAAAGGGGTCCGCGTCGCCCATTCGATCGTGCTCGCCGGGGCGACCATCAAGGACCATGCATGTGTGCTCTTCTCGATCCTGGGCTGGAACTGCACGGTCGGCGAGTGGGCGCGGGTCGAAGGCGAACCGCCGAATGACACGATGGCCAAGCCGACGGGCGCCGACACGTCGATCCCGCGCGACGTGACCATCTTTGGCACGTCCGTGCTCTGCGCGCCCGAGATCATTGTCCGCAACTGCGTCGTCCTCCCGCGCAAGGTGCTCACGCAAAGCTGCCACAATGAGATCTTGCTTTAACTTACACCATTCTTACACGATTGCCCGGTTGCTATTGTCGCCTTGCTGGTTGTGTTCTTCTTCATCGTGACCAAGGTTGATGCCATGGTTTTGTGGGCGCGGTGCAGGGAGAGCGTCGTCTTCGGTCGCTGGCATGACCTCGGGCTGGCCGTCGACGCGCGCTCGCTTGTTGGGGCGGTCGGAAAGTTCTTGGAAAAAGTCTAGAGCGGAGTTGGACCGGTAGTAGACAGGAGAGACGAGCGTACCATGCACTTTTAAGCGGTGGACGAGCGCCATGAAGTAGTCGCGGTGCCGCAAGAACATGCATTCCATGCCACTGAGCAGACTCGCATCGAGCAGAATGTTGCCCTCTACTCGACATTGCATGAAAAACGATCCTAAAAAACGGGAAAATCGACGAAAATACCATCGTCGACGTATTTCTCATCGCCTTGGTCGTTGGCCGCACCAAAGCGCGACTCCATAAAGGACCAGCACTGGTCGGCGCGCGCGGCCACGACCTCGCGCGTGCACGTGGCGTCGGCGCACGACTTGCGGATCTTGGAGTCGGTGTCGGACCGCAGCGATAGGCTTGGTTCCCCGACGAGCAGCTTGCGAAACTCCTTGCGGCGGCGCACGTCCATGTGGTCGACGAGCGCGCCGACGCGGAACGCACGGTCGTTGGCGTCTTCGACGTCGGCGTATTGCATCTACACCGACACAGACAGTGTCAAGACGACACCTTTGATGCAAGAGTCGTCATAAGTCGTACCGCCCAGGCCGTGCTGAGGGCCTTCTGCGCCGGCGTGAGCAGCTTGCGAAGCGCCGCCTTTTCTTTGGTGCGCGTCTCAATCGTCGCTTTGGTCGCGCTCGCGATCGTACGTGGCGCTTCGAGCGCTAGTCCGTCCATGACCAGCGCCCATGCGTTCGGCGTCGGCTTGCCGCCTTCGAGCGAGACGAGGCCGCCAGCGCGCCGGACGCGCCAGCGCTCGCCCTTGAACCACGTCGCAATTTCGAGCCACGGAAGCCCCGTCGACGCGCTGAGCTCGAGGAGCTCAGATTTCGTCGGGCGGCTGTTGCGCAAAAAGGCGAGGCGCAGCGCGACCTGCTGGTGGATCGACTTGGTCGCGTTGCCTGGCGGCTGGTACGTGGGCGGTGGCACGAGCGGAAAGTACCGCGCGACGGGCACGACGCGGGCCTTGACGCCGCGCCGGCGAATGTGGCTGCTCGAGGAGTAGTCGACCATGTCGTTTGTGTGCAGCACGTGGGCAAACTCAAAGTCGGGGCCCGGTGGCGCCTCGGGCAGCACGCCGTCGAGGAGGACCGGACTCTCGCCCTCGATCGCATCAAAGGCCGGCGCGGCCAGCTCGCGCGGGAACGCGACGCGGCCATCGTCGTCGTCTTCGTCGTCGTCGTGGTTCGCCTCGTCGGTCTCGTTGCCATGGACGCCGACCCGCTCCGACATGTCGAGTGGCATCTGCAGCATCATGACGAGCGACGGCGTCTGCGCTTCCTCGGGCATCTGCGTCTCCGAGTCGTCAGGCATCTGCGTCTGCGAGTCGTCGGCCTCGGCCATCGTGTTGAGGAGATGGTCCATTCTCGCTGGAATCTTATTGGCACGAAGGATTGGCCGGATGATTCCGCACGGGGATTGGTGCAAAAGATGCAAATACCGACGCATGATTGGTGTACTTTTGAATCAATTGGGATTGGCCAAAATGAGTAACACCCGGCCAATCAGTGGACGAAAAGGGTTAAACGCGTCAATCCTTCGGATTGGTGGAACAAATGGGTCCTTTGGCGATCTTGACAAGCGCAGTCCACACGCAGGCAGAGGCCACTTATGGCGCATGCTTCGGACATGACAGATATTGGCAATCACAAGATAAGGATGCTTTAAAGTATCACTTGTAAGTTACCTGTGGTAGCGTACCAGAGCCCCTCCTTCTCCTGTACGAAACATCCCAGCAGGTCAAGTTGCGTTTTCTCAGTTAATTCACGTTTTTCACATATGCGTGTAAAAACACGCGTGGGAAACCCACAATTTGATTCACATTGAAAGCGCGATCTCATGGAGGCGTGGGTGAAGAAGACGACCAAGAATGAGCGCTACGTCGACACGAGCACGGTTGAGACCGACCTCGGACTTGGCAGCGTCGACTCGATGAGGCTGATGCGGTCCATCGTCTCGTCTGCCCTCGAGCAGGACGCTGTGGTCCGGGCGCTCCGGATGGTACATGTTGACGACGACCTCCGCAACGTGCGGACGACGCTTTGGTTGCACGCTCCGTTCGACCTCGAGGACGACGTCATTATCGTGCTCAAGAAGAAGGGGAAGAACTCACGACCCCTCACGGTGACAGCGCTCGGCATGGCGGCGATACATGCGAGCGGCCGCGCTCTGCTCGTTTCGACGCACAACATTCGATTTGCTCAGGGAGCCCCTCGCGGGCACCGGAGCCCACCGGCCACTAACGACGTTGAAGTGGGCGCTGCTCAAGTCGAAGTTCTGCTCCGAGCTGTCGTGAAGAGCGGTTGCACTCCTCAGTTTCGGACAGGCGTGATCGCCAAGATGAAGACGCCGCCAGAGACAAAGAAGAGCCGTCACAAGAAAAACAAGGGTGGCAGCCCAAATCTTGTCGCGCGATCCACGCTTGCCGCGTCTGCCGGTCACCACGAGGCCGGTAACCCTTCTCTCATTTATGGGGACATCGACTATGCGGGATTTTAGCGCAACAAAAGAAGACGGCCGAGAAGGACAAGGCAGCCAAAGACAAGACGAGCATCATCACGCCGCCAGCCGTCGCTCCGAGTCCATCGCCACTTACTGCGTAGCAACAAGAGCTCAGCGCGATCCGCGACGCCACGGCGAAATACCATTAATTAGATCTATCTGTCGTGGGCACATGCCCTAGTTAATTTACCCGATTTATTGCATTTAATCGGGTCACTGAATTCCTAAGCAGGTTACGCGAAGGAGCTCATGCTAACTATCAAACCTAGTAGTACAGTCGTACATTGACAACCTTTTCGCTAAATGTGGGACGACTTTGCATTCCCAAAGCACGGCTGAGACGACTTTACGCGGTGGCGTCGCAATAGAAGGAGCTTTCGAAATCTTATTCCGCGTACTCGCCGACTTGCGCGACGCAATTACATGCTAGTGTAAAGGCACCTGCAGGAGTCCTTCACCATTTCACTGACGCATTGGATGACTTTGCATGTCAAAAAAGAACTCTGCAGTGCGCCTCGTAGTTGGGTGATTCAAGACGCGTTGAAGTTGAAGTCGAGACAGCATGGGGAGGCGTACGAGGACCGAGTGGACAAACAACAAAAGTAGTGCATTGGACCACTGAGCTTTAGTGAAACATCTCTACGATGCGCCAAGCGGGCACGTGGCGGGCACTGGTCCAAGTGTATTTTTCGCGATTTTATTGCATTTAATCGGGTCACTGA